TGTAGGTTCAACATTAATACTAGTTAATTCAAGGGATATTTCCAGTCACAATTCCAAATCTTTCAAATAGTTACAGTTATTATCCTAACTTTCATTTGTAGCAACACTGGTACCAAACCTTTAAATCCTACACAGTGGAAGGACCTTTGGACGATTTCCGTCCAAAGGATCGTTAGTTGACCGGAAAAATTAAGTTTGACTACACGACCAATTAAAAGGGAACAATGGTAACTCAAAATTTTCTCAATAAAATAATTACAATAATTAAAAAATAGAAAGAGAGAAGAAAATAATTAAAAAAATAAATAAATCATCTTCTTCTTCCCCACTGCATCCCACCCCACCCCACCCTACCCTACCCACCTATGCCATCACCTGCGAACCTAAAAAAACATGTATCGATTTTTCCTCATCTTTTATTTAATATGTTTTTCTACATGTCAATAGTCAATTAATTCAATTATGATTTGAATAATTTAAGGAGTATTGAAATCTTTAGTTTATTAAGTGTATTTGTAAAGTGAGAATAGAGAATGTGTTTGAACAATATTTTGAAAATCAATGCTAACATCAACCTGAAAAAGGTAAAAAGGGTTAAAAGGTGGAATAGGGGGGTCGAACCGGATGCAATAAAAGCACTATGTTAAAATAATTAGCTTTGTTAAATTGAAATATTTTGAGCCTATATAAAAGGGAGTCTAACATTATTGTGCTAATAATGAAGTTAAATTTTAAATTGAATAAATAAAAAGATTGAGGTGAACATTACAATTTACTTTACTGGGCCCAAAATCAAATCAAAACTGAAAGGCAATGAGGCAAACATTTGGAAAATGGTTTTTGGGTGGGGGGTTGAATTTATAAAAGGAGCAAGTATATATGGGTCTTTGATCGAAGTGCATGAGCTCATTAATGAAGCCAATTCACTGGTCGAGAGGAATTATTCTAAACAAACACGGTCACGTATGCCCTGTTCAAATTGGGGTGCTCCCCATAGGACATACCCCCCCACCTATAAGCCTTGTTTGAACAGCCCTGTTCGTATAGCAAAACACTTTCGAAAGACTTTGAGCCCAGTTTTACATATTTTAGAGCATCTCCAATTAATGCTCGTGTGGATTGTTAGAAATGTTGCCACATAAGTAAAAATAGATAATCTTTTTGAACATTCCTCTTCTATGCAATCTAGCAGAGACTTTATTAAGCTAATTTGTCAAAGGAAAAAAGAGACACTGTATAGAACTCGTCTAAATTCAGAAGCTCTGTGAATATATATATATAGCTAATGGAGATATTAACTCTTCCGGGGAACTAGTAACGCTTAAACCAAGACCAATCAATATCTGAACAGAACGGATTCGAACTTCTCCTAGAATACTTTCCGGTGCGAAATGAAATTCATATATATTCTATGAGTAATTCAAAGGAAAAATAGAAATATTTAATAGAATTGATTTTATATCACAATATATATGGGATAATTGCAGCAAAAGTCCCAAACCTTTGAAACATTAGCAGACTTTTCTCAAATCTTTGATTTGTTGCAGCCGTCACCCCGAACCTTTCCAAATGTTGTAGATGAAGCCCTTTTAGACAGTTTCCATCCATAATTTTGTTAGTTGACAAAAAAAATTAACTTTGACCATATTTTTAATATTTTAAAAAGGGGTAAAACAGTAATTTTACATTTATTACATTAAATAATTAAATAAAAAAATAAGAAATTAAATAAAACACGCACACGCACACGCACACACCGATTTCTTCTTCCTCTCAACCCTCACCCACCTCACCTCCACCTCCACCTCCACCTCCAACCCAAAATCGACACCCAACTCCGCCAACTCCACCTCCACCTCCATTTTTTTATCCACCTTTCCAGCCTAGAGTCTTACTAATAGAGCAGCCAGAAGCGATTAAAGGTTTTGCGAACTTGTGTTGCAGTGATTTCTCTCATCTTCTCTGTCACCAAATCTGGAAGATACTATGAGGTTTATATTTGTGTAAAAGAGGGTTTATGTGTTGATTTTACACTTGATCTTATTTGGGTTTGAATGATTTAGTTTCAGCACAATGATATCCCTGTGATTTTATTTTTCCCCTAAATTGTCGTTTCTTGGTGGAAATATTCCTTGTGCAACAGAAACTTAAGTTCTACAATACGACTAATAGTTTTAAGGCGTTAAAAGGGCTAATTACCTCAATAGTCACTGAACTTTACAAAAAGTTTCCATCAGGTCACTGAACTTTAAAAACTATATGGTTAGTCACAGAACTTTCGAAACTGCAACCCCATCTATCACTGAACTTTAAAAATCACTCTATTCATTACTAAACTTTGCAAAAAATTTTTACGGGATCACTGAACTTTGCAAAAAATTTCCCAAATGGTCACTGGACGAATGAGGTGATTTTTAAAGTTCAGTGATGGATGGGGTTGTAGTTTCGAAAGTTCAGTGACTAACCACGTAGTTTTTAAAGTTCAGTGACCTGGTGGAAACTTTCAGTAAAGTTCAGTGATTATTGGGGTAATTAACCCGCGTTAAAACCAGCAAGTTATTGGAATTCCTGAATACCAAATGATAAATTCCCAATCCAAATGAAAGCCAAGTGCTTGCCGCTTCGGGAAGATTAAAAAGGACCCAATTATAGAGCATAAATTTCAAAAAATGGAGGTGGAGGTGGATGTGGCGGTGGTTGGTGTGGATTTTGGGTTGGAGGTGGAGGTGACGGTGGTTGAGAGGAAGAAGAAATCGTTCTGTATTTTTTTTATTTAATTATTTAATGTGATAAATATAAAATTACTTTTTTACCCCTTTTTAAAATATTAAAAATATGGTCAAAGTTAATTTTTTTGTCAACTAACAGAATTACGGATGGAAACTGTCCAAAAAGGCTTCATCTGCAACATTTGGAAATGTTAGGGGTAACGACTGCAACAAATCAAAGATTTGGGGAAAGTCTGCTAATATTTTAAAGATTTGGGACTTTTGTTGCAATTATCCATATATATATATATAGCATTTAAGTTGAAAGATTCTAAGTACAAACAATAACATAATAATTAAATCAATAAATTAATCCAATGTTCAACCATCTTTGAATAATATTATCATAAATTATTATTTTCCTGAAGAGCAAACTAGCACATACATTTGTAGAAGTATAAAAGGAACAAATAAATACTATATCTTGGATAAAATAAGTAACTTTTTCTTTCAATCTGGGTGAATATTTCGTTTGGTTTCAAGGGTTTAATGAACCATTTCCAAATGACTTGGTTCGGTTTTTAATCAAAACCTGAACCCAAAGCAACGGTTTTAAATCTACGATTTTGGTTCGATTTGATTTGACTTTTTTTTTGTACACCTCTACTATTAATATTATTTCTTTTTTGGGTTAATTAGAAAAAAAACACTTTTTTTTGGGTCTCTTTAAAGTTTAATACATTTTTTTTTTTTGCTTTTGAATTAGCATCTCTATAAGTTAGAGAGTTGTCCGCTAATATTATAGTTTTTAGGGTGTTTGATCAATTAGCTTGTTGGTTGGCTTAATTACGCTATAAGAAATCTGTAACCCCCCAAATATTTTACATAATGGAGGCCCATATAATGCCATAAGACACTTTTATATGTGATGCGAGAAAATATTGTCCCACTTCCGAACTCGAGCTCAGTAGCCTGAGCTCACCTCCACCAATTTATCAATGGAACAAGATCGGGCTATATGTTGAGGCCGGGTCTCATAAGGTTGGGCTACACGTTGAGGTCGGGTCTTACATGACTAGTCATGTTCCATAATAACGATGCCCTTTTCCTTATCTCATGCCCATTAGAAACATTAATCCTACTTTGATTGTAACTCTCTATAATCTTTATTATAATCCAAATTGTCAACCTACCTCAAGTTTAATTCAAATTCAAACATAACACTTTCAATATAACGCAAACACCTTACATGATAAAGATAAGAACTACAGGTGGTTGAATCCTTTTAGAGCTCCATTACCAACATCTATAAATACAGAACTAAAGATCATTATTCAGGTATGCTTTTACATAATTTCCAATATATAGCCTTACGCATAAATTCTCTCTCTAACTTAAGTATCGAAGGGGCGACGAGAACATAGTTCGACGACTTTGTTTCAGGTATTGAAGATCGGTTTGTGCAGTGTTCAGGCATTCAGTTCGAGATCTAGTAGGTGCAGGTTTTTGGTAGCATCATTGGTACCGTCTGTGGGAAACACTACCAAAGGTCATGGTTAACACACGTTCAGAACATCTTCAACAAGCTCATCCGCTAATCAGCATCCCGTCGAAGATCCTCCAGGTCCGCAGGAAGTATCATGAGGAGAACAAACGCCTCCGCCAACAGTCGTTGCTCCTGGAGCGTTCAAGGAGCTTCACCAACAGGTGGCCATGTAAACTCAGTTGCTGAATCAAAGAAATTCGCACCCAACACCACCGCCACATGGTGGATGCTCGAGCTCGGGCTCTCCGTCCCGGCAACGAAGATGTCGGAATCTCGGGCATACCTCATATGAACTCGAGCTCGAGATCAATTATGATGGACTTCGCCGATCTTGCCAGGATTATTCAGGATGGGATTGCGGTTGGTGTGCTTCAAAAAACTCAGGCAACAGGGTTCACCCCTAACACCTCTTTCACCCCTGAAGTCTTAGCATACTCCCTGCTAGATAGATTTAAGTATCCTTGGGTAAAGGAGTACGATCGGACAACTGACCCCATCAATCATCTCAACATATAAAAGGTTAAACTTGTAAACACAAGATTATTATTTGATGTTCCGTGTCAATATCATAGTTCTTCTAAGGCAACCAAAAAAGCAACTCCAAAGTTCAACGGAGAGATAGAAGCAAGGTAAAACCATAACAGCAGTTTAACAAGTGCAAATTTTCAGGATTTTCGACATAGAGAAAATGAAGTGATTCAAGTGGGTGGAATAAGATTGCGAAGAGAATTCATGGTTCATGCATCTCACTTCCATTTATCAACCTCCTCGGCATAATCACCTTCGAAATCACCTACCTGCACAAATCATGGAGATGATATATGAAAATAAGCATAATCAACTCTAAGGCCCTGTTTGAACAACCTTATTGTAGAATGAGAATGAAAAATATAGTCGTTATTGGGGCCCACACAAGAGATAGAGAATTTGAATTTAAATATTGATGTGATGGATAACGGTCATATTTTTCATTTTAATGAGAAAATAAGATGACCCAAACAGGGGCTAATTGTTGAAGAACTTTATACTTGAATAGTATGTAGGATAAAAGCAAGAAAAATCGTGTCCTGTAATTCTGGTACGCATTTTGAACAATGGCAGGTATCGGTCAGCTAGAGCCTATCCTCTATTCTTTATTCATATTCCAAAAAAATAAAAAAAAAAAAAAAAACTCAGCCTCCTTTGGGCAAAATTTATAAATTAATAAAACAATCAAACATTCTAATGGACCTACGAGTATTATATACTTTTCCACCACTCAACTAAACCATTTATAAATTCTTCCCAATTACAAGAAATCAGGGGTGAGATTAATATAAGGTGAACATAAGACTGTTTTTCACATGACAGTAAAGAAAAGAAGGGCGGTTTCAGAACTGATCTCGCTGATTGGAAGGGTTAAGAAAATTTGCAAAAGAGAAAACATGCTTAGGTAAATTTTGATTAGCAAATACTGTATACCAACAGTTACAAGAAATAGATTGAGAAACAAGAAACTTGGACGTGCTTACCATTTATATACACCACAGTTCAGTAAACCAAGATAGAAAACGTTACTGCGATGCTACGATCTGGGAAGCTAAATCTCATCTGGATCTACACATTAAATATTTTTTGTTCAGATAGAAATAGGTATGGCAATATCAAGGCAAGAGAACAATAAAGAGAGATCATTTACCGTCTGCTGAAGGAACAATGGAAAGCTTGAATCCAGTGCCAACGGTTTTTTTCTTTTCTTCCATCCTTCGCTTATGTTGCTGAATTTTCCTTGCAGAAGCAACCACTGATTCGTTATTAAAGTACAAGTCAATTACCTGGAGATTTGAAATGTGTGCCAGGCACAATGGAACTGCTTCGAGCTCTTTGCATTCTTTAAAATATAGACACCTGAGTCTTGGTAGGTGATTGGCGGAAGTATGCCAAGAAACTAAATTTGTACGTTCAATACACAATATATTGAGATTACGGAAACCCCCATTCTCTGTCTGCCACCGCTCTCCCACGAACGCATTATTTTTCAACTTGAGGATCTCAAGATTCTCCAACTTTCCCAGTGTAGACATGTGATCCCAATCAATCAGCGTGCCTGATAGTGTTAGCTTCTTTAGCTTTGGTGGAAATGAGCCAGCTTACGGTAGGATAAATTTTTCAGATAATACAGACACATCATTCTGTAGCTTCAATTTTTTGAGATAATTCAAGTTGCACAGACAATCGAAACCATCCTTGACCTCCGCCTTCAGTAGATCATTTAATCTGCCACAAATACCCAGTTTTCTTAGCTTGGCAGCTTTGGCAAAGACATCTTCTATACAACTTTCAATTGCTAGATTAGTAAGTGTTTGTAGACTTCCATGGATCAAAGAATCGTCGTTTCCTGTTTTGGCAAGGTGGACCGGAATAGATGTGGGTACATTAGCAATTATGTGACATAATTCAGTCATCTTCCATATATCTGCTTCGATTACAAGAGTGAGTGACCCAGACATAATATCAAGAGTCTGCATGTTCCAGAGTTTGGAAATGGCTGCAGGAATGATCTCGATATTGCCACATAGAACAAGATACCTCAAATGAATCAGTTGACTGACATTAACAGGAAAAGGATTATATTTGAGGGGTTCAACGCTAAACACCCTGACCAATTCAAAGGCTCTAGTAAAGGAAGACATTAGCTCAGGTCTCAGCAAATCATTATGTTGGAAAAACACAAGAAAGAGCGAATACGTGAAAGAGGTGGTTTTGAAGAGATAAAGTCCAAAATGTTGTTAGAATGAATGCAAAGACGACGGGCCTCTGCCATTACATGGCTGGACGGTGAACAGGTGCCTTCATCATCGCATTTGACTTCCAGAAATAATTCTTCACTTTGAGCTTGCTTCTTGCAGAATTCATGAAGGATATTATGAACTTGGCATGTTTTGATAGTACCATTTAACCCCCATTTTATAACCATAACTAAATTCATGTTAACAAGATCCTCCAAATACTCCTCTGCAATATCTTCCAAACACATTCCATTCTTTTGTTGTATGAAGCCTTCGGCAATCCACAGGCGAACCAATTTGTGCTTCGAGATTTGGAATTTTTTCGGAAACTTATAGAAAACATATTTTCAAGTGATAAGGTAAGTAGTTGAAACTCGGTGCTATAAATTTGTTGATGCGTTCCTCGGGGTCAAAGAACAAATGCATATTCACACATTTCGCAACTTTCGCCCACGACGTTTTAGTAGAATTCCACCAATTACCACTATTGCAAGTGGCAATCCCATACATTGGTCGACGATATCAATTCCATGCCATTTCAATTCCTCAGAACACACATGTGGGCTGAGTGCCTTCTTTTTGAGTAAGGACCAACTTTCATCATGACTTAACATACGCAATTTATGCGGATCCCTCTTTGGGTTTGCATGCTTAGCCACACTAGACATGCGACTAGTTAGCAAGATTCTACTGTACATGCTGTTTTTGGGAAAAGCATTTTCGAGATTATCCCATGCCTCTGGAGTCCATATATCATCTAAGACAATTAAATACTTCCTTTTTTCCAAAATTTGATAAAGCTCCTTACCTAAATTATCATCAGTCATTTTATACATCTCATCAGTGGGCTCGATAAAATGATCCAGAACTGTGAGGAATACTTCCTTTCTATTACAAGAGTGCGAAACATTTACCCATGCGCGATTTTCGAACTCCTCTTTAATTTTATGATGGTGAAAAATCTTTTTAGACAGTGTCGTCTTACCAAGACCAGGCATGCCGATGATCGATATAACTTCTCGTTCTTTAAAACCATCAGTGAGAAGTGCGATTACTTTATCTGCCTCATCTTGAAAGCCCACCATATTCTCTACCTCATCTTGAAAGCCCACCATTTCGTTTTCTTCTACAATGGAAGACTATATGTGGAAAATGCTAATATCAAAATATGATGTGTCTATTATTAAATGATTTAGACATTATAACGTCAAATAATGTAATAAAGGCATAAGAAACTATGCAATATAATATCATATATGCGTGTGTGTGTGACAAATCCCCAGGTATTTGATAGTTATAGGTGCAAATTATTTTTGATGCATTTTTCTAAAGCCATAATTACGTTAACACTAACTTGTTTTTGTCTATTTTATATTTTAGTATAAAATGTATAGAAAAACATTTAGAGATTTTAGAATAAGAAAGGAATATTATTTTCTTTTTATTATTAAGATCACACATCGTGGGTACATGCACAAAAATAAGGGATCACAGAACATGAGATCGCAGGATATTACTTCTCAATAAATTTATCGGGTTTTAAACACCTACAAACTCCAGAGTCTTACCATGTACAATTTCATATTCCGCCCTACAAACCATATTGAACCACATAATTCATGGGATCCGTAACTTTTCAACTACAAATATATCAAAATCTGCTAAAACTCTTATCAAACAAATAACCCCTAACCACTTAAACATTTGTAGATGGATAAGGATTTGCATTATACCACGGCTCAATAAGTAATAAAATCGCACTATAATTCTCCATGTCATATCACCTCAGCCTGATTGTTGTGTATTTACCTATAATTTGTATTTTATAATTGTAATTTGCAATCAATCTTAATTAAGTAAATATAAAAGATCCAGCATACATATTGTTACCTTTTTATTGTATGTGCTTCCTTCACCAACTTGCAGACTCTCAATCTCAAACTTAGTGTCGAACATGATCTTCACTTTTCGGAGGATTACATCATAATTCAATTTATGAATGGCTTTCATGAATTGATTCCTGGACTTTTGCATTACTGCCACGGAAATATGTTTATCCACAGCATCTTCTGATCTATAAACCAAGTCTCTGATTTGTTTCACAAATTCCCTTTCTAAAGTACGGTTTCCTATGAATTCCTTGGCAAAGGCGTTGAACAAACTCAAGTCCTTGTACAGATATTCGATCTCTTCCTTCACGTCAATGATTATATTAGGATGGTAATCAAGGAGCTGTTTAAGGTGTTGGAGAAAAAAGCCCATAGCAGCATCACCCATCGCTAGTATTCTATGGATTAAGTAGGGTTTCTGAGAAAAATTAGTAGTCGTGATGGCGGCGCTGGACGGAGATGAGAGAGAATGTAGTGGTTTAGCCGTCGTAATTTGGAAGATTTCGAGAACGTATCATTCTTATATTTTCCGGAATTTTTGATAGAATAGGATTGAACATCAAGAGATTCTATCCTTTTTGAAAGAAGTCTGGTTGGACTAGGACTGTACTTCCTTGACCACGATTACGGGTAGAGGTGTCAAGACGAACGGGCCGGCCATTACACGTGAAAATCGGCCCATGAAAATCGGGACCGCGGGCCGACCCGTGACCCGTGCGGGCGGTTCATGGGCCAAGGAGGTGTAACCCGCGGGCT